AACTAATAAGAACTTTAAGGCTAACTGACCTAGGGAGCATGACATCTAAAACTGGAAATAAGCCCAACAGATACTCAGAGTGCTTACTGCTGATTTGTTCTATGAGTACACACTATTTTAGGCCCCAGTCACATAAGTCAAGAGACCAGTCAGCGACTCCATAGCAACCTTTGGAAAAATGCATATACCCCAGCTGGTTGCCGAGTGGTTGCTGCACCAAAAAGCTTGCGATTTTATTGGTCGCTAGCAGTTTGCCAAAATTGACCACAGTTTGCATGCAAGACACTGACTCATCTATGGCAATCTGTTAGCGACCAAAGCAATCACAAGCAGGTTTTTATTACAACACAAAGTAAAAAGTAAAATAACCTCCAGTAACTACTCACTACCTGGTTGGTGAATATACTTTTTCACCCTAGTGACTTTTTTAGGGCAACCTCATAGACTAAATCTATACAAGTTGCTACACTGTGAGCATGGAGGGGTGCTTGTGATTCAGAGCTTCTGAAACTGAGGTCTCACAGTGATGGTTCACAAACTACAATTATTATTGTAGGGTCTTTACTTTGCAATATAAAGCGTCATGAGGCGACTGTTGTTGGGATTTGACGTTATATAAATAAACTTAAATTCAATTAGATACTACACCCATCTTTTCCATACATTTGTGAATGTATTGCATACATTGAAATGGTTACCTTAGGAATGAGTAGAAGACCCAGGGTGACAGTGACAGTTAGGTGAGTGTGGGTGAAGAACAGGAGCAGCATCCAGTCTGGATGCAGCTCAGGAGCGAGAGTGAACCTGTAAAAATAAAGACAGACATCCAGATGTGAAGCTGATGTTAGTCAATTTCATTGACTGCCGATAGGATTTCAGTTTCTTATATTCTGATATCTATAAAGCTGTTCAGCATCACTATTCAACCTGCTAAATCTCATCACATAAACCAGGAAAGTATTTGGACACAAAGACACGTCTTTATTATAGTTCATCAACTTTAAAGTGTTCATTCACTAACTGAAGTGAAACCTGCATCAAAGCTCTTGGATACAGATGGATGTGGGAGAGAAAGCTACCACCAGTGCAGCAGATTTAGCAGCAGTGTCTGTCTAGTCGTCAAATGCACTCCTGCAGTGTTCTACTTGGGTGATCCTCGTGCCAGCAAGGACACAATATTTTCCTCATCCGCTCAATTGGATTCACAATAAAAAGGAGTGACCTTCATCTGGTCAAAAGATTCAGTCTATGTGTACATCAGACGGGAACACACTAGGCTAGCTGTGCTGCAGCAGTTGGAGGAAAATAAGATAATTACCATCTGAAACAACAGTGGTGAGAGGAGTAGCTCCAGCCTGTTATTTAGAACGAACTAACAGGCTTTCAGCACAGTGAGACCTCGTGTGCACTAAGGATATGAAGGCATGTCTTGTTAGATGCTAATTCCACCACTGGAGAGCCTCTAACCAAGCAAATGTCATGTAGCAGGCTCATTACGCTGCTGAGGTTGGCAAATGGCTAATTAACAAACAGTTACTGTGGTAATAGCTGTGAGGCATGAATGAAGGCAAACGTCCAGCATATGAAATGTCTCGAAGCTTTGAAGTCTTCTCTCCTTCGTGTTTTGTGATGAGTTTGTGTGCAGATGAGGATTTAATAACTCTGGCATGCTGTCTCCTCTCAGCCTGCAGCATTTCACTGAGCGATCCCCACCACTCCTACGACTCCAGCGGTTTCATTCCAGCATCCCATTTACCTGGACCTGGCTTATACCTGAAGAGGACCACAGCCAACCCAGAAGCCTGAGCTTTAACTGGTCACTATGGGATCAAATAGCAGGTTCTTCGTGCAACATAAATGGATGGTGGATGCCTTTAACTAGCCCCGGTGCACACTGGAGCCCCAGGTGGCAACCAGACGGAATTAACCCACCACACCGGGCAGTTCTCCAGTTTATTAAGGACCTCATCTGGCCATTTTCTGCAGAGGAAAGCCTCACAACAATGCTCGAGAGGCTCGTTAAAAGAACTGGCCAAGCAATCACAAGAGCCAGATGTTCAAAAAGACATCAGAACACTTAAAAACTCGCATTTCTTCCAGTAAACTATCGATCATGCACAATTTATTGGTAATGAACGATAATAAAGCTGCCAATAGTTCAAGTAATTGATGCTGTCTTAGAAAAAAAAAATCACCCTGACATGGTTCATTAGTGAATAATGTGATGGAGCTGAGCTCTCAATTAGGGCGGCTCGAGCTAGGAGCGGCTGTGGCAGTGTCAGCTGAAACATCTCATTTATTAAAACTGCACATTGCAGCTACTTGACGTGTAGACTGGAGGGAGAGGGCTGATTTCACTATGATCAAAATTAACTACGAGCTGAACAGAACAGTTGAGCTAGCGTACACGGAAATCAGGCGATCTACTGGAGGATATAAACATCAAAATGACAACCTGAACACAGACTATGATATTAAATATGGAGCCACTACGTACTGGGAATTTTGCAAATTTAAGTGACAACATTTGCATGCTGAACACAATGTATCTATTAGTAACTATGCTTAGAGCGCTATGTGGGTGGATTTGAGCCTTACTGTTATTCCAGTGTTAAGGTTCTGATTTTTGTGTTTGTTAAACTTGGACTTTGCTTTTGTTTCCTTTATTATTCCATTTACGTGTGCACACAGAAAGGTCCTGAGCTGGATTTGAACCCAACACCTTTTAACTGTGAGGCAAAAGTGACACAGACTGCCATCCAAATAAAACAGACAAAACAAACAAAAAACCCACTTCTTTATCTTAAATATCTTAAATGAAAGTGTCTCTTTTTCTTTTAACTGATCCTGTCAGTTATGTTACTGTCAGTTATCATCAGTGTTAGTCATAAAATAAAAGTTGGAGCGTATTTCAAGACAGAGGATTATTACCCAAAGAATCTCTAAATTCAGTATTGTATGGGGTATAACAGAATATAATTTGTGATGCTCAAAGTGTTTTGGTAAAAATTCTAGACAAATTTATTACATAAATAAATAGAAAATCAGTTTAAAAAGTTTTCAGTTTGGATATAGCATTATAACAGATGATGTAAGCTGTAGGCTTCCTACAGTATAGCACAGGTGGGGGAGTTTACTGCAAAAAACTGTCTGTGATGAGTCAGAAAACACAGCCTGACTGTGCAAACAGCACAGGTTTACCTGCGTATCTGCTGATACTTAAATGTCCACCTTTAACAAGTCTCACTGGACCCCAGAGTAGAGCCTTCCCAGTTTCACTTCAAGACAAGCTTATGCTTCTTCCTGCTCCTTTTTGAACGTGAACTTTATTTGGAGTTGTGGTTGCTCGTTTTCCTTTTGTTTTGCTTTGTTCATTTGTCTCTTTTAATTCTATTTTGTTGTACTTTTTCAACATGTTCAAAATAAAGATTCAATCAATCAATCAAGACACCTCACAGATTTTTCTATCACACCACTGTATTCTTGGTTTGCATTTTGGGTTATTTTTGTTAAATAAATTGATTTTGCTCGGTTTCAGCCCTCTTCTCTTCAACTCTCTGTAGCTTTAAATTATTTGAGCTGCTGCTGCCCATTTCCAGAAGAGGGCAGTACCTTTCCTGCCATTACCACAAACAACCTGAACCAAAAATGCAGCAGAATAATTCAATTCTGTGCCGTAACCTCAAAGTGTCTGAGAAGAGCTGCTGGTTTATACCAGGTCTGTACATATGTACCAAGAATCTGAACAGACTGACTACTTTACACAAAGCAAAAATGTTCTTATGCAGTACTGATAACATATAAGAAATTTCTAGCTGATTAAACAACCTTTCCCTCACTAGTCTGCACCACAAATACCAGCTGGTTGAGTAAATAATTACTATTTTACTCATGTGCAATAGTTAACTGTTCTCAGATGCTACACAGCAGTATGTGATTTAGAAAATGAACAGTTGTATGCAGGCTGTGAGAGAACAAGCTAGTGTATAATCACTGGAGTAATGTGCCATGACGTACAGCACAGGCGTGTAGATGCTAACCTGCAAAGAAAGGAACACTTGGCAAACTAATCTGACATCATGAGTATGATGAAGTATTGCAGTACAAAGTGCCGCACTGTTGAGTGACATTTAAAATATGATTTGATTATTAAAGAATGTAATTAACAGTTTCAAGTGGTTTCTAAACATAAGCACTGTTTACACAGCCAATTTTTATCCTCATCCATTAGATTAGGCTACATGTTTAATGTTTTTCGTACTATTGCTGGTCTGCTGGCTACCAAATGCAAAGCAAACTTTCCCCCTGAGCTAAGGGTGGTCCACACACGGAGCGATGTGGTGATCAGAGAACATAAAATGCCAAAGATGTTCAGCAACTTCAAGCGATAATAGGAGAAGTGAGTGGGCATGAGCAAATGCAGCAAATACCAACAATGGCGACCCCCACATATGTTGATCGACATATGAGGGGGTGGCAAATAAATTAGAAGGTTACCTAGGCAACCGAGGGCTGAATTGTCCAAAAGCAACCAACCATTGAATGACCAACAGGATGAGGAGGCATGTAACTAATAGCTGGAAAATTTGCCATTTTGCACACCTTCAAGGCTTCATCTATTTTTCCTGTCTCTGCATAAAAGTGAGCTGTGGAGCTCCGTTTCTAATTGTCATCATGGGTTTTTGCTTTGCAACATGATCCAAATTTGAGTTGAAAATTTTTAACCTGTGCAAATGCGGCTTTGCCTCTGTTTGCATTGCCCAGTGTGAATTTGCATCAAATCACCTCATGGGATTGAAAACGTGTTCGCGGTTTGAAAGTTTTCAGACTTTCTGATTTCTGTCATGACATTTCCTTAAGATTCATTCTAGCTTACTCGATGTGCTATAACCAAGAGACTATGTTGGCAGTTCACTGACCTTATAAACAAACTATTTATCTCATATAACTTTTACTAATTTTCTGGTATGATGCAATAATACGATAGAATATATTTGCATTTTTTTTAAATTCAACAAAAAAAAACCTCATGGTGCCAAATCACTGGGAGGAGGAGCTCTTACCTGATGATGTAGAATATAGCTGACAGCACAAGCTCATTGTGAACAGCGATGGCCATGTAGCGAGGCTCGTGGAAGGCCGACGGCACAGTCCTCACGGCGTAACACAGATAGACCGCCCACAGCAGGAAGAGGAACTCGGCTGGGAAGCGAAAAAACAAAAAACAAGCTGTAAACACAGCGAATGCTCTGGCCAAGAAATCATTTCAATGCGGCACACGCTCCTTACATGGGCACCAACCAACCAGCCACTTCACACTCCAGCGCACACATGGAGCTGCCACAGATGGTTGTAAAACACACGTATACAGGAAAGTGGCCTGCTCGACAGACTCATTTGCAACAGCTGTGGTTGTATTCTCAGGGCATTAAATGAGTCCCCGTGCACCTCCGCGGCAGCCTCACATAAGGTTTCCAAGGTATCCAGCTCCGCAACTGTAAACACGCCAGGTTGCTGCCTGTGAGGGCAAGTGAATCATGTTTTCTTACAATAGGAACAACAATCACTGCAAAGTGACTCATTACTGTAAACGCCTCCCTGTCTGTTGGACTTCTTTTTTTAAATAATTAGATCTCAAACTTTTATTTTTGTAAGTAAAACTATTTACTCGAGACAACAATAGAAATAAATTTGTTTTCTCCGTTCCTTGAAATAAAATAGCGAGTGAGAGCAACGAGGGAAATCTAACTCTTTTTTTAATGGTCTATTCAGAGCATTTGTAAATTATTTATCAGTAGTTCCAGCATATTAATCCTTCAAAATGGGCAGATTTGTTAATTTTTTTGTACTTGATTTTTTTTCTTTTACAGCGTTAAACAAAAAATGTTTCTGGTACGTTAGCAACTAAAAGACTTCATTCACAAGTTTAGCTACCTCAAAGCCTTTTTTTTTTAACCATATATTCTGTTATAGAATATAACTTCTATAGAATAACTTTCTTTTTTTGTAATTTATCATGAACCTCCATACAGTTTAGAGTGGGCTTTGTGAAACCGATTATACAGAGGATTTGCAGACAAAGAACTGCTAACCCAATGACATTAACTCATCCCTGTGTATGAACACTTCTAGTGAAACTGGGACCATTTTCCTTCAAAATAAAAGCTGCACCTTTTAAACTTCTACTTTGATGGGGAGCCTTCTCCATTTCCAGTTTGCGTTGCACTTTTGCTAACTACAATCACGTGGGTAGTAGTTAGCAAGTATTTGCAGCCAAGCTGTTCATTGTAAATTACAGGTGACCAAGGCAACCTACTAGCAACCAAAGCAATCATAATGAGCTTCTTAGTGCAGCATATCATATTCAATATGTTGAATAACGTGCACGCATGATATCACATGAAGAAAAAGAAATCTCTCTAGGTTGTATGGTGCAATATTTTAAAAAAATACTTACTACTCACTACTCATGTACTAATTTCTATAGTGTTTCTGTGTTCTATGATATTTAACCTTGCCATGGGTGTCACAAGAAACTAACTCGCACCAGCATGTGATTTACAAGAGAGGCTGTGTGAGGGATGAGGAAGAGGAGTGTGCAAAAGAAGTGTGTTCTCTTACCATGACTGCTGATAACTGCTTTTTTACTGTTTTCATGTTTATAAAGTTAGACTGCACAAGATTAATACAAGAATCCCAGTGTGCCTGTACTGTCCTCTACCCCTGCACATGCGAGCACATGATAACAACTACTGAAAGTGCAGTTTTGCTGCATGCTTGGGTCTTAACAATTCGTCTTTATTCGATAGGAGCTCATTTTTTATGGGATTGTTTCTGCGCAGAAACACAGCAGAGCAGAACAGAAAATACTACAATTATATCTCTTGCTGCGAGCAAATGCAGGTGTGGATTTCTAAATCTGAAAGATTTATTGCATCTCTGTGGGTGTAAATTATAAGCTGCATTCAGGTGGCATCAGAGTTGCCCCGCACTTCCATATTGCCAACCTATTTTTACCTCCTAATAAACAGAATGAAAATGTGTCCTCAGTATACAGTAGCGCAGCATGGTGGCCCGGCTGGGGGTCCATCTGTTTTCCCAGAACTCTAAAACGACCACAGCGCTCTCTCATGAAGCCTGAGTCAGCAGACATACACCAGCATGCAGACTTGCTCAAAGTGAGATGCTGCTCTCAAAGCATCTTTGATTTCTCATCTGTCTTCATCTGCTGCTGGTTGCCCTTCCCCTCCTGTGTACAACACAGGAAAGCATCCAAAAGTGTAGCACCAGTAGAGAGGATTAATGTCTTCTTTTGGGAAACATTTCCAAATGTACATGGAAGGGAGTTGTCTTAATCATCCAGCTTCACCCCATCACTCATTCTTCCCTCATCTCACTTTCAACTCCCATCGCTATCATGCCTAACAAATCACTTCTTAATTTCACGTGTCCATCAAGTAACCCACGTTTCCTCACCACACTTACCCACATGCAGAGTGCAGCACACTTAAATCTACTCACAGCGCCCTGCAGAGGCAGAGGGCAGTAACGGTACTTACCAACAGCCATCATATAGTCCCAGCGATCCAGGAGGCACATGCTGAACTGCAGCCCATTGGGCGTGTAGCCCACCTCGATGAGAGCCAACTTCCTGTCCGGGTTCTGACAGACAGCAGATGTCCAAGCCACCAGGAACCAGCAGACGATGAGCAGAATGATGCCCAGCAGACGTAGCACTCGCCAGCTGGTCATATAGGGGATCCTCTGGGCTGTACGGGACAGGAACACCTTCAGCACCCTGTGGAGGGAGAAGCTCACATTGAGACTGTTTCACAAAGTTTCATGTAAGCCTGTCGTCATTTCAAGTAAACAGAGTATCCATGAGAGGGAAATACCTCTACACTCAGTGTGCCTTGAGTGTATTTATCTTTTTATTTCCCATATCTGCTAGAATTTGAAACCTTCTACATGCAAAAGCTTTAAGCAAAAAATACATCACAGCTGCTTTACACACTGGTTTATTAGTCTATGGCAATATTAGTATCGGAAAAATATTGCTTCCACAATATGACATAAATACTTAACAGAAAACTAGTATTTCAATTTTCATAGACTCTTATTAAGCTTTATAGCAGCCATTCCCAAAGTCAAGAGTGCTGCGGCCCACTTAAAAACCAGAAAATCCCAAGGGGCCCACTCATTCTTAAATCTTCACTTTAATCAAAATGCAAGAGAAAGTGATGTATTTCCTTGAAAAGTTTCATTCCAAAAAACATAAACAACGCAGGCTGTTAAGGCTATAAATTGTTGATGCTACTTGCGTGTATGCAAAGTGTTTAGGTCAGTGTGTGACCCATCTTCCTCCTTGGACACGAACTTCACTCACCTGTGCCAATAGGAGTCACTGAACTGAAACTCTCTGCTGTGCTATTGCAGCCTTTCAAAGGATTTTTATTGTGTGCTGCTGTGTCCAAACAAACATGCTGAAAACGCCGACGTCAACTCTGTGATCAAAAGTGGGCCTGGCAAAAAATTAACCGTGATGGTGGATGCTGATGTAAAATATTAGTCTAGTCATGCTGTCTCTTGCGAAATGAGAAGTATACATCATATTACTTTTTTTATATGGATGAATTTACCTTTATTAGCACCATTTCCTGTGAACTGGCTCCAACATGCTCAGAATCGATGATTTTCTCGACCATATTAGTTCATGAAATTTAACCAAAACAGTTTATCTGCCTTAAACTTACTAAACATAACAAAAAGAGCTGAGTAGGGTTGAGCGATAGGACGAATATATCAACTATCGACGATAGGCTGAGGCCATCGGTGATCGTTTTTACAAGGTCGATTTATTTATTTATTTGCCCATGAGTAAGTTTGCTAATAATGATGGAGCTAATAGAAGCAGTCAACAGAAAAAAAAATAATAGCACTGTTTTAACAGCACCCTTTTTCATCTGTGAGCAAATGCACGCTCCTAAATTCTGTGCCCAAATGCGTGTTGATGGAGCTGCAGAAGTTGGTGATAGTCTTGCATACTCAGCCGCATGGTGGACACGTACACGCTTATGCAAGTTAGTCGTGTTTGAGTACTTTGTTCACACTATACGTCTGCACAAGCGGCACAACGCTTTGGTTACATCCTTAGGTTTACCTCTTTCATCCCAAATTGGCAACTTTATACTTTTTTTAGTGCTGTCAGCATAATCACGACTAACGTGATTAACAATTAACCCATCTGGAGCACAGACGGAGTCAAAGTCCCTGAAATGTCTCTGTCAACGCATTTCAGGCAGTTTGTCCAAAGTTTGTTCATTCTGCACTCCAGATGGTTTAAGCGCGTTAAAATTTTTAATCGTGATGACCACATTAACGCTGACATCCCTAATTCTTTGGGGAAATTAGTTCATCCATGTTTGGCCTTCTGTGTTGTAAACAGCAAATCAGTCCGTGCATGATTACATTGCTCCGCCCATCAAAAAGTCTGCGCATACGCGAATATATCGTCGATCGACGATTATTGGACTGACGACTGTCGGTTGGAAATTTTTTACATATCACCCAACCCTAGAGCTGAGTGATCAGAAAAGAAAAAAACAAAGCAAACTTATTGTTTGTCACCTCACTAAATGGGTGAAATTTTACACTATTTATTAAAAAATGCTAATATGTTGCAAACTTATTTAAGGGCTTTGGTTTAAAAGAAAGTGTGCCTTGAGGTATGATTAAATGACATGTCAAGACTTTTTCCTGACTTCCTGCAAAGCAGCGCAGCAGAAAAAAACTGCTAGCCATCACATTTGCAGCACTTATTCCACCTGCCACATCCACAGACTGTGGAACATGAGTTAAACTCTGCTCAAACACATCACCGGCATAGCTATTCTTAGGCTCTGCCCTTCACGCACATTGATGAAGTGTCCACTGCTCTCTCCACTAATGAGCCCCCCATCAAAAATTGATCTGTGCAATATGTTAACTTGCACCTCTAAGGGTGAACTGGGCCCCGGCTCGTGTTAGCCACATCCTCTTAATCAGTATCTCCATTAGCGCATTTTGACAGATTCACCTGACAAAAAAAGGCCCACAAATGAAGAATTTCATCACTGTCACTTTAAATACAGTGGACCACCCTGTCTCATTAACAGCTATTCACAGCTGGAGAACTCCCCCCCAACACCACTCCACTGCATCCTCTGGCGATGCTTTCTGTCCCTGAGTTCTGTTTTTGTCTTTTTCTCAGCAACTGTCATTCAGGACTTTGTTAAATATGGAGCTCATTTGGGGCCAATGCGCTCCGTGTTTTCTTAATTACTTTACCACTTAATGAGGCAGTATAGCCTGGTGATGAAGTAGCTGAAAAACACGCTGCCTTGACACATCACAGGACTCTTTATCAAAGGATTAAGAGGTCAGGTGTAATATAATCTGATAAGTGCTTCCAGGGATGGATAACAGTGTCGAACTGTGGGTGAAGTACCTGTACAACTTAAGAGTCAGCATCCCGTAGACGGTAGCGAAACCCAGCAGTCGAACCCAACGCAGAAGGATGCAACGGAAAACACTGGGCTGGAAGTAGAGAATCCCAACCTGGAAGAGGACAGAAGAAGCATTAAACAACAAAGGTCGTGAAAAGAAACTGAAAAATAAATAAATAAATAAATAAAAGAGCCACCCAACTGTGAGTGTTTTTTCTATCTAAATGATAATGGGCCCTCTTTCCCTGGGAAATTACATTTAAATTCGTGGGAAGCTGCTGCCTCATTGTGCTCTCAGTGGACGTCTCTATAAACAGTAAAGTAATCTTATTTAAATGTTGGTTTTCTCCAACTGTTCTCCTTTGGTGTCGCACAAGTGAATGAGTGGGTTTATGCAGTTTAGTTTACTGTACATCCTATCGCACATTAAGTCCCTCTATAATCAGTTACTTGCTTTGTTTCACCACAGAATCTACTCAGGAAGCTATTTTGCTTGTGTTCTCTAAACCTTTTCTACTTCCTCTGCCACCTTTCATCCATCAAAGGGAATTTAAAATACAGCAAAAGTGACCATCAGTGTGTATCGCCGATGCTGCAGATGAACTCAGTGTGTTTTGGGGCTGTGAACTTTTTTTTTATAGTGGTTTTTGTCAGCAGATGGTGTTTCCAGGGATGTCATGAATGTGTTGACATAAAAGATCAAATGCTGCTTGAATTCTAGGACCTTTTTGCTCATGTCGGCCAAAAAAAAAAAAAGAGCACCAAATTTTTATTTTTTCTCATATGCTACAAAGAGCAGCTCCATCTGCTGATGAAGATCATGTGCTATGATCAAAAGGTCTGGGCATCAGTTGAGCGCATACACTTGGACTTACTTCTAGGACTCTCAAGGATCAACAGTTTTGACCGTACTAAAATTACTATGGCTAAACAGCTGCTGAGCTTGCTTTTCAATAATGAAAAAGTAGCATTTGTTGAGCACTTTTCTAGTCTGATTGAGCACTAAAAAGTACCTAACAGCTACAATATGTACGACAGCTGCAGAAACAACAAAAGGTTTGCTCCAGTAAAAGGTATAAGATAGCTTTCTTAGAACAATACTTTAAAAAGCTTGTTGGTGTACGGCAAAACTATGTGCCAATGATCAGGTTCCCTTGATGAAAAAATAACTAAATAAAAACTTCAGAAGGTTTATGGTCCAGGTATATTGATATACAACCTATTCAAGAAGGGGCAGTGTCAAACAGAACAATAAGTGGACACGACCACCAAAAATGAAATCCAGAGGAAATGATGTGCTCACAGTTGCTATGAGACAGTAAAGCATAGTAACTAACTAAACAAATATATAACAAAGATATAAAATATAACAAAATAACTACAAATAGCTGAAATTATAAATATTCTAGTATTATTAAATATGCACGCAGTGTTACTGTATATGCATATCGTAAAATTAAATATGCATACTTGACCTTGGGGTGCCCATCTTACCATACTGTCAGCACCATGTGAAGCCCAGTAAGTAAAGGAGCTTAAGCTCGCGGTTACATCCAGTAACTACTATTTTATTATTATTTTCACTGTATATTTTTCCCTTTGACACATTTTAAGGGTATAACCACTCATTTGTAATTATCTTACAAGCTTTATTAACAACCATAACAAGAACAATGTTGACACTGCATATCAAGGCTGAAAATTCCCTCCACATTGTACATGGATTGACCCCCTAAATCTAGAAGGGTATCTGGATGAGATAATGAGGACATTAAGACAATACCTTCAAAACTTCCTGTTACAAGTGACATTAATTTATCACATATGTTTGTGAAAAGACATAAAATGGCAAATTTTCCAAATCCTCAGATCTAGATCCAGGTCTACACAAGTTAAAGCTCCATTTCTGCTAAAATCTGAATGCAAATCCAACCATAACCTTTTGAGAAATGTCACTAAAAGATAAAAAAAAATCAAACCAAACCAAACACATAACACAAAGGAACCAAGCTAATAAATTAATAATGCTAATAATTTAATAACTCAATAGAAGATTACTTAAAACACTGATTATATTTGAATCTTGTGATTTGCCAGACATCGTTTTATGAGCAAGATAAAGCAGTGTGTGTGTGTGTGTGTGTGTATGTGTTATATGTGCATTCAGCGCTCTATCTCATTTATAAATAATTGTTTCAGCTTGGCCAACCTTTGGTAAAAGTTTGAGCTAAACTTTGACCAGGCTGGAATTGGTTGTCACTACTTTTTAGTGTAATTTTTAATTTTCAATTGAAAAACAAAATGAAAGAAACTATATTGAGGGCCGGTATGAATATCACAGTGTTGTTGGTGATTTGATGAATTTAATGTCTAGCTCTTCCAGTCTGGCAGAATGAAACTCATCCAGGAATAGTCTCCCAATCTTTAGGGATTTAAATCCGCATTCATCTCTTTAGTGCATTGTTTGAACTCCAACAACAGTGACTCAGCTCAGATAATCTTTGAAAGAAACCTTCTGTTAACAGGATAACATCATAATGAGTGACTGATGCTTACCACTTCGCTCCTAAAATGCCTCACACACATCGTCAGGGTTCAGCCGGTGCTTTGATATTGTTGCGAGCATACAAGTAAACAACCCTTACACTACAATGATTGCATAATAGAGCAATTAGGAATGAAAAACAACTGACATGTTCTGCACATAGTGTCTCAGATATAACACTCAATGAATAAATGTCTAAGAAAGAAACAGGTAGAGAAATTTCTAATAATTAGCATTATTTTCTCCAATAATTATAACTATAGTACAACTAATAGTAGTACTACTGCTGCTGCCACTATTACGGGAGGTGAAACCATTTTGGTAGAGTCATTTTCATGATTTTACCTTTTATACATCAAAGAGAAAATCCATGAACTGAATTAGTCATAACAGTAAAGTGCAGTGAAAGCTTGCCCTTGAGACACAGAGCGCATCCTCCTATGTTACATCTTCACGAGTAGATTCTTCTACAAGGACCTGAGCATGCTGAACAGTGCCCATCCATGCTGGTAAAAAAACGCTGATGGTCTTCCAAAGACATAAAAAGAGCCAGAACAAACAGAGAGAAAAAAGAAACAAACATCTGAGGCGACGTAATTATCTGTCCGTTGCAGATGTGCAGAGATTTCCCCTGCGGGATTGTTAATGTTAATCGGATTAGCTGAGGCATTAATACGTTCCCTCAGGCAGCGGCGAAGACGCAGGCATGTGGATATTTTTGCTCACTAGGTTCGAGTCAGTTAAGGGACACAGAGGACCCCACGGGAGGAACGGTGGCCCACATCTTCATCTGCTCACAGAGTCTGGAAGACCAACTGGAGAAACTTCTGATTCAAACAAAGCATGAACAGTTTGACTCGATTTTGCAAAAGGAACGTAAACTTAAAGAGTGCTGAGCTGTTCATTTTCAATACATACAAGGTGCTTAATACTATATCTACTGTCAATATGTTTTTTAAAAGCCTTTTTTTTTAACAGGTGGGATTAACATAAATATCTAAATAACGATGTGTGACTGCTCCTCAATGTGTTACCTTTTTCACAAAATAAAGAGCAGAGGAACAGGAGCTGATAAAAAGATAGCCAGGCTGCCGCCGAGCAACTTGCTGACGCACGTTTGGCTCCACGGGGACAGGAGAGGGCGCAGGAACAGGAGTAAAAATGCACAATGGGAAAACACAGCTCAGGACTCCCTTTTAGATAAACTACCAAATAGCATCTGAATCTCCATCACGTGCCAGTTTTAAGACTGGTGTTGTTTGTGATGAGACGGAAACGGGGAGGTGTTATCCGCCACATTCTTCCCTTGAGGGCTGGCTTTAAATGATCTGAATAAGCTGTCATAAAAAACTTTTTTTACACATTTAGCAGTCTGAGCTTCTCTTTTAATGGTGCGATCTCACCTCTGGTTATTTTAATGGCTCACAACAAGAAACAAAAAGTGATGGATATGTACAAACATTTAAGACATCCTTTTCATCCTTGTCTCCTGCAGTCGTGAATTGGATAATGGATGGATGGTGTGTCGTGTTCATCTTACTACAGTTCGAATGACAGATGATGAAGACATTAAAAGGTAATACCAAATCATTTTGATGATCGCTGCTGATACAAACATGGTGGAGAGGTCTAGTTCAATGACTTCAATGACTTCTGGCTTCATCGTACTTCCTTTGACTAAGTTTCAAAGTGGTCACACCCATTACTAAAGTATCTTTTTGGATGATTTATCTAATTAAAAATAAGAAAACAAACAAAAAAACTACTGGTAGTGGTTGATGCTGTTTAATGCTGTCTAGCTCAACATTTTGAGGACTTCCTTTTGGAGCCACCCTCATGTGGCCATTTAAGGAACTGCACTTTTTGATGCTTCTCACTTGGCTTCATTTTTCAGCCTCAGAGGTGGTCACTTGTCCACACTTGTCTTCAAAAATTCTCAGACCAAAAGGCAAAAATAAGTCGCTATTGTCAGACATTACTATGACCCTCAGGTTTCATGATGATCTGCAGAAATTACACAATCAATTTATGCTGGCACAGTACTTCCCATCAGTAAGGTTTCTGGGAAGTTACTGGCCCCGATCCTCAGACAGGTTTCTCTTAATGTTAGTGGGTATAAAGAGTAAGATCAGTTTCTGCCCTCCTTCTCTTTTGAAACCTTCCATTAATAATCGATGTTAAGTGCTGGGAATACTGGATTCAGCGTTGTGGGGAGGGGAAGGAAAAGGATCAAATGTTATTGGTGAATATGTGTGTGTGTGTGTGTGTGTGTGTGTGTGGTGTATATGCATGCAAGTGAGGTACAGTATACCTATCTAATGGACATCAATATCAAGGAGACAATTATGAACTAATATCAAGCCTCTATCTCAGCCCCATTTGCCTTGTCGTTTGCTTACAACCTAGCAAAGGCTTCAGCTGAGCTGAGCAGTCCACTTTCCAGTTTTACTTTTTTCATTTCTTGAATCTCATCCTATTGCTATTTGAGATTTTAAAAAGTGCTAGTTCTTCTGTCAGTTTGCATGCAACAGATTTTGCAACTAGTGGTGAAGACATTTAGATAACGT